TGGAACCTAATGAGTGGTCGAAATGAGAATGACCTCTGTCTTTCTCTGAAAATGAGGTTATTCACACTGTTCAACACTTGGATTAGCAGTCAGGCTCCAGTAAGAGTGGTTGGCACTTGAGAATAGCTTATTGGGAATCTATATGGTGGGCAAAGCGTACTCTGAAAACAGTTTTTCGTTTTTGTTCCTGATTCATTAACAGTACATTTCTTGCCAGTTGTTATCTTTCATTTGTTTCGATTGACGTCTACCACGGATGTTTGGCTGCTCACGTGGAAACTGCAGCCACACTTCATGAGAAACGCGCTGGAAAATAAAAAATAGTGTTTCCAAGAGGAGCTATCTGTCTGAGGCTTGGCCTGTCGGTGAAAAGAACTGTCAGGACTAACCACATAATGTGTGCTTGGGTAGAATGAAAAGGTCAACTCAAGTTCTCACCTTTTCTGTTTCACAGCACACATCTTTTTTTGTTCAAGCAACACTTTCTGCTTTTGTTTTTTCTCTGCTCTTGATATTTGTTCCAGAGGCAAGGGAGAAGCCCCCGAGGAGTTGCAGCCGCGGTTGGATGCTGTTAAAGTCCAACTGATGCATTCACAGGAGTTAAATTAGTAGTAGGGTAAGCTGGTGTCCTTAGAGACGAGGCGGTGCGTGTGCTCGTGAAACTCGTCCTCCACCTCGCTTGCATTCCTCGGTCAAAAAAACACAAGAGGGAGGAAGAACAAGGTGACTCATAGCAACTAGCGGGTGACTTATGCAACAGATTTTATTCAGGTTTAGCGTAAACCAACCCAAGCTCTTTTTACATTGATTTTGTTTCATCTGACCTTCTTGGGTTTGATTTATCTGTACGCAGTTCAGAGTTTCCCCCAGAAAATGAGTTTGCGCTCCTCTGTGATAGCGGGGGTGGGGGGTTTCACACGTTCCGCTGCTGTTTCTCACCAGTATCCGCTGATGGAGGGTTCTAGTTTCATTGCGCCATTCGTGTCAGCGGACACGGTAAGGTCAGGGAGGGGGTGTTTCATGACGCTTAGCCTGGCGGGCCGCAAGGCTTATAAAGCGCTGGGGGACACCCTGCAGTTCATGCGTCATTTCAACCACAAAAACAAACCAAAAATCCAGGAAAAGCCGGTAGGGTCAAAGATACTGATCGTTCCTATGCTCTTCTCTGTCCACATAGGCCAAATGCTAATCTGTTGTAGGCACGTTGGAAGGAGAACAATATTAAAGTGGTTCTGGAGTCCAAAACGTACCCTGTTGGTTGAATATGTGCAGTTTGGTTTGTCAAATGCACCAAAAAGTCTGTGTCGTCTTTGTAGACCTGCTCTCCTTAGTCAGTTAGTGGTGCTGTAGGAAGTTTAACACGTCATAAGCTTGCAGACACTTAAATTTGCACGTCCCAACTAGGGCTGCAGCAAACGATTATTTGGATAATCGATGAATCGGATAGGGTCTCGACACGATTAATCGATTACTCGGATTACATGCGGACATTGTTAAAAACTGCTAGGGAAACGTTATTTCTCTCCTTCCTTCACTTTATTAAACACAACATTATTAGAAAACAGTTCAATAGCAGAAAAACAACATGCCATCACCTAAATTGTCTTATAAGGTGTATAGACAGAGACCCTAAGCTACATCTATCTGTGACCTAAAATGCTTGGTCCAAGTTAAACAGCTTAAAGAGCAAGTCACCCCCTACCAGAGTCTAACTCCACTCCCACTTCATGTTTGAAAAATGCAACACATGCTGTTGCCTAGCAGACCGAGAGGGCGGAGCCGCTAACAAATACACACACACTCAGGCTCACGACAGCATTGTGACATCATAATGTACCAGTTTACATCATAGCATACTTCTTAGCCAATAGCGGTGGCAGATTTAAATTAAAATACAGTGCAGAGTTTTTACCTGACAACGGCACAACACTGCCAGTTTTAGGCAGAATATTTAAATTTGAACTAAGATGCACTGAAGTGCCAAATTATTGACGACACGTGTCTGCAGCACGATTAGACACTCGTTTATTTAGTCTATCAGCAAAAAAAATGTTTATTTGGGGGTGACTTGCTCTTTAAGGGCAATTCTCATCTGTTTTGTTTGATCTCATCTGTTGACATTTATTATAACTGGGGATGTCAAACAACTAATTTTTAAATGTAATTAAACATAGGCTCTGAAATAATCAAAATTAATCACTATTTCCAAAAATGACTGAAAAAATACCAAATAAAACAAAAGTAAATGAATGTCATCCTCCTTGCGATGATGCCCTGGGCAACTGCCATAAAGTCACATCAAGAAATGCTGCTGATCATTCCAATGATCCCAAATAGACTCACATTAGGCCACATGAAAGCAACTGAACCCAAAAATATATTAACCAGTATATAACTGCACTCTCACACAACACGCCTGCAGCAACAGTTAGGACTCCTCCCTCCCTTTTAAAAGCGTTTTCGCTTCCGAGGACATTGTGGTTGTAAAGCCACATGCTAGTAGTCTGGCCGCGGTGTGATCAACCAGTTTCTGCGGGAATGTGACGGGGCTTTTTTGGGGGGTGGGGGGGGCTTTTGGAGGAGTTGCGCAACACAACGAATCGATGACGCAATTCGTTGCCAACACTTTTAGTAATCGATTTTCATCGAATTTATCGATTCGTTGTTGCAGCCCTAATCCCAACACACTTCAATGTCTGCAATGTACTGGTGAAACTGGGAAAATGAGAAAACGATGCAAAAGTCCTTTTAATTCAGTAGTTCAGGAATCCTGTGCAGGTGTTCTGGATTCATTAGCTGATTAGAGTGTGGCACTTTAAAGAGCAAGTCGCCCCTTACAAGAAGCGTACTTCACTCCCACTTCATGTTTGAAAAATGCAACACATGCTGTTGCCTAGCAGACCGAGAGGGTGGAGCTGCTAACAAATACACACACTCACGACATTGTGACGTCATAATGTACCAGTTTACATCATAGCATGCCTCTTAGCCAATAGCGGTGGCAGATTTAAATTCAAATGTAGTGAAGAGTTTTTACCTGACAACGGCACAACTTTGACAGTTTCAGGCAGAAAATTTAAATTTTACCTAAAATGCACTAAAGTGCAAAATTATTGACTACACGTGTCTGCAGCACAATTAGACACGCATTTATTTAGTTTATCAGAAAAAAATAGTTGATTTGGGGGTGACTTGCTCTTTAAGTCTAGAATATTGAACATTTTCATAATATTCTAGTTGTCTGAGATTTAGAAACTGGGGTTTTCATAAGTTGTAAACCATCATCATAACGAAGGTTGAAACATCTGGATTGTATGGAGTGAGTCTGTATCGTTCCATCATATTTTAATTTTTACTTTTACCTTTATGCTGGTGGCGGTGGCAGAAGTATGCTAATCCAAGCTGCTGCTAACGTCCTTGTTGGATGAGAGGAAGACAAATAAGAATGTCAGAGCTGCACTTGTGTGAAGTTCTGGGATGTGCTGGGAACATCCAGACTTCTAATGACTCCCAGTAACTCAGTGGACAAGTAATGGATTTATCCGGATACACTACATAGCCATACAGAGTTTCTAGTGAAAGGGAGCATCATGGAGCAATCAAGGTAAACCGGCCAATCAGCACGCAGCTCATTTAATATTCCCGTCCTGGCCGAGGGGGCGGGGAAAACCAGTTCTACCAATTGTAAAACAGGTTTTTCTATAATCCGTTTAATTTGTATAGAAATGGAGAGTCATGTTTTGATGTTTACTGCATTTTCCAAGCAAGACAGGTGTTGTTGTTTTGTTGTTGTTGCAGTTTTTAACTTTTTCTTTGAAACATTTCTGTGAACTTTTGCTCCAGAAAGAAATCCTTATGGCAGCTCGGAGACATGTGAAGCACCTCGGTGGATGTCTTGAATACAGAACACACACACACACACGCACGCACGCACGCACGCACGCACGCACGCACACACACACACACACACTTGTGAGATAGTGAAAGAAGAGTGGATGGTGTGCTTTGCCCATCTGTCCAGGAGGAGACCATATGGCCATCGTCTACAAGCTTTCTAAATGAACATGCAGTCTCTTTGCTTTGTGAATCTTTGCAGGTGATTTAGAAGTTTTATCTTGTAATTCAGGTTTTCATGCAGAACATTCAACCTGCCAACATTTTGTGTTGTTTTTCTTAAATATTCCCTCCAAACTGCTCGGAACCAGTGGGGCGTGGTGTGTCCTGTGGTTTCTGGTGACGGGATGCTGGCAGCCGGGCATGTGAGTGGTGGCGTTGGGCTTCTGAGGGTTTATGTCAGTCATGTGTGTGCCATAGATGCTCGATCCGACTGGCAACTGGGGAGTTGGACTGGATGGTTTTGATATTCCCATTGCTGTTCCCTGCCTGTAGTTCAGTCATCCAGTTCTTTGTAATCAGACATGAATAAAAAATCTGGATAAGCAAGGAAATCTTTTGAAGAAATGAGGATGTTCCTTGAGCTGCTTTTGAGTGATTGGTTTCCTGTTCCTGCCAGGGACTAGATGGATGTTCTCGGTCTGGACTCGACTGTTTTTACAGTTAATGGTTATGTTGTCCGTGTGAGACGAGTCACTTGATCGTCATGTATTTAGAAGCCTGTCGCTCATCTCAGGCCATGCTGAACCTCAACTCCGTCGCCAAGATGCTCCTGTGTTCCTGTTTCAGTGGTAATGGAGTCACATGACTAATGTGAGTGGACAATAGGGCAGCATATGCTTCCTTCTCCCATAGCCTTCAGATATCTTGTCGTCCACCCGTTACCCTTTCTCAGCACTGCTGTGTTGTGATGTAGCCGCGGGCGCTGCTTTCCGCCGCGGTGCCGTCGGCAGGGTCAGCAGGGTGGGGGCCAGCAGTGATTTGGGATGTCTTATTGGCTGCCTGAAGGGTGTCTCGGTCCTGATTTAGTTTGTTTAAAAAAAAAACAGTCAAACACTGGTTTATCTACTGAGTGTGTAATAATCTAGTTTGTTTTCTTTCTTTAGGTGCAGTTTGTGGAGTAAACTGACGGACGGTGGATAAACCCTCTGGTTCCTCCTTGAGTTCTCAGTGGAAGAGGTGAGTTCATGTAAAAAAAAAAAGAGCCAACGATTTTAGGGCTGCAACAACGAATCGATAAAATCTATTAAAATCGCTGAAGAAATGCGTTGCACAACTTTTATTCAACAGTCAATGAGCACAGCTCGTGTAGGAGGCAGCAGAGCAGACCGAGAGAGAAAGCCGGTGTGTTGGTGAGCAACGACACACCGACGCACCATGAGCTAATCCAGATGGTGTGGAGGAAAACAGAAACCAGCAAACATACAGAGGTAGAAATGGTCTAGGATCAGAAGTGCAACTTCGGGCAGATTAGCTAACGCTAGCGGGTAGCAGGCTCGCGATCAAGTGGGGTTCAGACAAACACAATGGTCGTGAAACTACGAACCTCTAAACTCTACCAGGAGAAGAAAAGCCCTCACCATCCTGTTTAGTTTGGGGCAGCAGTAGCTCAGGTGGTAGAGCGGGTTGCCTCATGATCGGAGGGTCGTGGGTTCGATTCCAGCTCCCGCCAGGGGTATCCTGCCGTTGTGTCCTTGGGCAAGGCACTTCACCCAGCTTGCCTGTGTTAGTGGTGGTCAGAGGGGCCGACGGCGCCAAATGACAGCCTCGCCTCTGTCAGACCTCCCCAGGGCGGCTGTGGCTACAAGTAGCTTACCATCACTAGCAGTGTGTGAATGTGAGAGTGTGTGAAAGCGTCTTTGGGGGTCTAGAAAAGCGTTATATAAGTTCAATGCATTATTATTATTATTATTATTATTATTATTATTATTATTATTTATTCTTGGCTGACTGCAGCGCCATGCAGCAGAAACGCTGTCAGGTTCGAGTCTGCTCGGTTAAACACCGCAGCAGGATTATGGCAAGCCACTGTAACATGTAAATCGAAAATGCATCCATCTGTGAACATAATTTAAACTGGATTATTGCCTAACTGTACATAATGAATATGTCACCATTACATTTTTAGCAGAAGAAATGTAATGTTATTACCATTTCCAGTAACTTACTGTTGAACATGTTAATGAACTACATAAAGTTTTTCTGATTACAGTTTAATTATGGATAAATTAAGGTGATAGCATGTTGTTTTGCACATATTGAGCTGTTTACCAATGGTGTTTTGTTGTTAAATAAAGTAAAAGGAGAGAAAAATGTTCCCTAGCAGTTTTTAATTAAGTTATTTAGTTAATAATATTTGTGGGATGTGTGGGGTCTTTTTAATCTTTAAAGCACTTTGAGTTACATTTTGTATGAACAGTGCTTATAAATAAAGTTTGATTTGATAAAAATGTTCCCGCTTAATCCGATTCATCGATGATCCAAATCGTTTCTTGCAGCCCTAAATGATTTTATTAGGAAGGATTAATGCTTTTCTGTGGTTACTTTAAAAAGGGCATTCTCGTAATTTCTGTATGAATGAGTGAAAGTTTCATGCTTAACAAGAGCCCCGCCCATGCGGTCTTATAGGACATAAGCTCCTGTTGAAGGAAGTAAAGGCTATCTGGAGGAGTGGGGGTCAGAAAATGGCAGGGTTTGCATTCTTGCTCGTTGGTATTTATGATATTCGAACATCTCACCTCTGATTGGCTAACAGAGATGCGACCCCCCTCCCCCCAAGGTGCTTCACAACGCCATCAGTCATTCACCCATTCACACTCTGGATGAGCTACGATGCAGCCACAGCTGCCCTGGGGCCTCTGCTGACCCAGTAATGCTAACAGTTAGCTTCTATCCACCAAGAAGTGCTCTGCTCTCTCCTGGATGCTAAAGCAACAACAGCCTTCCCCATCGCGAGCCAAGAAGGAGGAGTCCAGGAAGGCTAATTTTCAGAGACTTGACCCAAGCGTTTCTCCGTCTTTCTTCCATCTTAAAGTGAAAGCTCCACTAGTTGTCTCACACACTGGCGTGCCACTGACCTGGTGTCGGGGGCTAATGGAGGATAGGGGTGCGTTCAGCCTACATGTTAAACTCGGAGTGAGCGATAGTCTTACTCGTTTCCCAGTGCCCTCACCTTTAAAACACCATAAACACACAAAGTTGAGTAAGAAATCTTCATGCCAATGCCTGAAGGGTAAATATAGGGTAACATTACCCATCAGGCTTCATATGGAGTACAGTGCTGTCTTCCAACGCTAACGTGATCCATATAGAAACCTGCCAACTCTCACCAAAGTCAATAAACGCACTTCTGTTTGTTTTTTCTCAATCCTGAACAGCTCCTACTGTCTGTCTGCCTCCAACAGATGGATTATTTTTAGATTGGCTCAAATATCGGGGGATCCTCCATCGCCGCATGTCTCCGTTTCCCCCGTTGTCTCCGTGTGTTCACGTAAACCATGGAATCAGACGTAGTTCTGTGATGTCACTGGTGGGGTGTGCTTAAAGCAGCATGGTTCCTGTTTAGCTTTGACAAGGAGAAGAAAATTTCAAAGTGGTAGAATGAATGATTTAGTCTCCTGCTGGTTTACAGTTTCAGTCTGGACGTCTTACACAATCAAACAAAATACACAAACAGCATAAAACATTTGAGTTTGGGCTTTATACTAGCACAGCAAAGATGCTAATCTCTTGTTGGCATTTTAAAACAAGACACCTTTACAGATTAAGTACTGGATTACAGCATGGTGAGGGTGTTGCTGCTCGCTGTGGGAAGTGTTGAGTCCAGCGTTTAGGGGACTGGATCCATGTCGGGGACTGAGCTGTAAATCAGCATTAACTCAAGACTGTCGTGGTTTTAATAAAACGGGTCTCTGTTGGTGTGGAGAGAGCTGGAGACGGCTCAGGCTCAGCTGGTGTTATTGACAAGAAGAGACATTTACCGTCCTCCTTGTGCGTCTCTTAAACAGTCCCTGTCGTCCTGCTGGGTGCCACGGGGAGTAAACTGTCAGGTAGAGGATGCTGACCGCCTTGAGACGATTCAGAGCGCTGCGGCTCGCCGTATGGCGGCTGCAGCTGGCGGTGCTTCGACGATGCCCCCTGGGGTGTTTCGTTTGTCTCCGAGGAAAGGTGAAAGGGGAAAATGCTTCTTTGTCCTCTCCTCTTCTGCTAAGCATCCCCTCTTTGCCACAAACATCACAGCGGGACGAGCCTCTCTTTCCACCCCAGACTAGGGGCTGCGTGACTTAATTATTTTTTAAAGTCGACCGTCAAGTAATGAAAATCGAGTCGACTTCGACTAGTCGTTGATGATGTCATACACCTGAAGTAGGTTGGTTCGCTGGAGTTTTTGACAATTAAAAGTGCGCCCACATTTTCAAAGTTAAACACATTTCTTTTAACAACGGTAGTTTCTGCTTCAGCCCTCTCCCCCCTCCCCCTGCTTCAGCCCTCTCCCCCCTCCCCCTGCTTCAGCCCTCTCCCCCCTGCCCCTGCTTTAGCCCTCTCCCCCCTGCCCCTGCTTCAGCCCTCTCCCCCCTCCCCCTGCTTCAGCCCTCTCCCCCCTGCCCCTGCTTCAGCCCTCTCCCCCCTGCCCCTGCTTCAGCCCTCTCCCCCCTGCCCCTGCTTCAGCCCTCTCCCCCTCCCCCTGCTTCAGCCCTCTCCCCCCTCCCCCTGCTTCAGCCCTCTCCCCCCTCCCCCTGCTTCAGCCCTCTCCCCCCTCCCCCTGCTTCAGCCCTCTCCCCCCTCCCCCTGCTTCAGCCCTCTCCCCCCTGCCCCTGCTTCAGCCATCTCCCCCTCCCCCTGCTTCAGCCCTCTCCCCCCTGCCCCTGCTTCAGCCATCTCCCCCTCCCCCTGCTTCAGCCCTCTCCCCCCTGCCCCTGCTTTAGCCCTCTCCCCCCTCCCCCTGCTTCAGCCCTCTCACCCCTCCCCCTGCGCAGCGGCCGCAAACTCACTGATGCGCCTGCAGCCTCTCGGAGTTCCTGCTGCTCTAAACATTAAAATAATTATTTCATTTTCTGTTCCTCACTTCTGATTACCTTCAATGGTGTCTGTTTGTTGCAACCAGCAGGTACAAAAACTAACTTGTTTTTATTTGACTATTTTTCTGTCCTGCCTGTTTATTATCTTCCTGCATCTCCTCTCAATCCTAAAGAGAAACTGCTACCTGGGTTCATATGTATTCACCTCATGAGTTACCTTTGAACTGCAGTTCTAAAAGATCTACCGACTGCAAAAACAGCGGAGTGCTCGCTCCAATAAAATGCATCACCGGATGACAAATACGCTCCGCTAGCCTGGCCTGCCAGACTCGTCCTCTGTGTAATTCAGCACAGAGAGAGTCTGGTAACTCACAGGCAGAGCGGCACTTGAGGGGCGGGACTAGGCAGCTCAAAAATAACCAATCAGAAAAAAGACGGAAATCCCGACTGTACCGCACGACACGGTAGATTTCTAGTTGTAGTAAGAAAATAGCGTCTGGCAACGGCGAAAACATCTTTTATTTATTTTTAGAAGAAATGCTTTTAGTGCTTCTACTTGTGGTTTTAAAGACATTTGAGTCATTTATAAGAGAGGAAAGAGTCGCAGCGAACTCCGCCATCGTCTTCATTGTTTATGAGAAACTGAGCGCCGCTGTGTGTGACGTCTGCGACGCTGTAATTTTTTAGCTGTAGTAAAAATGACGTCTGGCGACAGCACAAACATCTTTGTTTAGCTGAAAGGCTTTTAGCGCTTCTACTTGTCGTGGTTTTAAAGACATGTTCAAGTCGTTTAGAACAAAGGAAAGAGCCGCAGCGACCTCCACTTCAGTCACCATGTTTATGACCAACTCGGCGTTGTGGTGTGTGACGTACGCTACTCAGCGCTGATTGGCTCGGTTAGAATTCTCAGGGGGCGGGGCTATTTAAATAGGAGAGGTCCCAGACTCTTTCTCTGTGCAGAATTAAACAGAGGAGGAGTCTGGCAGGCCAGGCTAGCGCTCTGGTCCGCAGCAGTGAAACGCATCAAATAAACAAAATAAAAACAAATAAAAGACAGAAAACATAAAAGGAAAGGCATAAAAAGTCACTACAGAGCAGTGAAGTCGACTAGTTGATACAATCCCTACCCCAGACATGCACACACTCTTGCACTTGGCGACA